TAAAATTAAAAATCAAAATGTAATGAACAGTTATGAAGGATTCATAAGCAGCTGATTTCGCTGTGTGTAACAAAACATCTTTCCTACATATTTCACCATTCAAACTAGTAAAGATCAATTTTACAGGTTAACTTGCAAAATAGTAACTCCTATTGAGTAGTTTAATGGAGTAAGGTGGACAAAAAATTCACTGTACAACAAATTGACTAAAATATTCGTTTTATTGAGCTCAACAATGTGCACAAACTGCTTTATATAAAGTCCAGTACAGGGTTTATAAAACTCATGGAAACCAGAATAAAGTGTTGGTTCTGAATGGAATGGTTTACATTTATCAAGCCTTAAATTGTTATGTTAAATCCTAAGGATAAAAGACACTATACATAAGCTAATACCATAACCTATACATATCACTTGTAAAACTGTTATTGAGTAATTTGAAGACAATACTTAAGTCACCTTTATTTCTAACGCATGATAAGTGGAACACATTCAGTTTGCCCAATCAGTCGTCATAAATTAGCTTTTCTGTTTCTGAAACCAACTTAATTGTAGCGCTTTGAATCTTTTCTAACAACTATCTTTTACCAGGCGAATAAGTCCTCAAAATGAATGGCTTCACAAATCTTCAATATCGATACCGGCACTACCTGTTTAACTACACATACTCCTGGCTGAAGATGTTGGTTCAAGCATCCTAACCAGATCACGTTTGGGCACGCATTGTTGCACAGACACGGGGAAAAAATTCATTTCGACATTGAAGTGGTCACTTTTCCATTTCGACGACTTTGAGAGGTTTATATCACATCGATCGTTCCATATTTGAAATGCAATAGGTCGGTGGCATATTTATAACCTACTTTAACCTAATTTTACCTGTGCATTTAGGTTTTGGAAAATACTAAATGATGGACAAGTATGTGCATCGCCTTTTTTTAAATATATTTCAGCTAAATAAAACCTTTGTGTCGTGTTGTTTAATTGCAGATATATGGCTAGTAGTACGTGGGTTTGGAAATTTTGTCGTTACGTTAAGACACTGATTCTTCTGTCCATTTATTCAACAGTACTACTGCATCACATACTTCAAGGAGTATTTTGATTGACTTAACGGATATTTCTTGAAAAGCAGTTTTATACCAAACGTTCTCGACATGTGATGCATTCGAAAACAACTTAAAAGTACTCTAACGTCTAATAATAATATAGTTCTAATTAATGCAGATATCATGTGCTCACTGCACTCATCTAAAAAATAAAGATTCACTCACTGAGCATTGTAAACATTTATTTATTGTCTCAAAATACACGTTCGGCATGGAAATAAACTACGAGGAGTCTGTATTGTTGGTAAGGTTGTAGATTTCCAAAGTAGGTGATTTTTGTCAATGACTAGAAGGCTTACTCGAGTTGGAAGGGAATGGCGTGACTAATTAACTGACGTCGATGTCATACCTCATGGTTAACACCTAGCACAGATTACCCTTTCATCGTGTCCGGGTACTAGGACTTCTTCGATAACCATACAATACAAACAACGTTGTTACAAAAGTATATCAGTAAGAGTAGGTACAAGAAACAGAAAGTGACCACCGCCATATTCACCAGTCCATGGCGTGCGACTGATTGTCTTTGAACTTAACGAGGACTGGAAAAATGTTCGATATTCAGTGACCTGACTACTGAGTGCTTTGGCTATGACTCATTGACATTTCACTGGCCCTACAACACTCCCCAACAGATTCACTAGCCGTTCAAATGGTACTAAGTACGTCGGGAGTAGTCATTTCCATGCGTGACAATGTGGGTCTATGTTTCATAGTTGTTCGCCGTTGTTTCATATAGCTGTAAATAATGGGAAAAATAGCCACAAGCACCACATCATTTTCCTTTAATTTTTTTATCGCTTGCAGTAACGGAATGCACTTCTTTATCCATCGACCCCAGAAGGTATTAGTTAGACAATTTACTTGGCCCCATCGTTTCGAATACTAGAATACTACACTTTATCCCTAAACCATCACAATCTCTCAGTAGTAGCAGGGTGTTTGGCGCGAGCACCAAGTCATCCTTTTCATGTGATGTGAACGGGAAAGATGTGGCGATTAGTTAAAATTGTTTCCATCTCCACAAAGTAGGTTGCTGAACTATCATCATGTAAGATCTGTTAGTTGAAAGTGGATGGCAAGATCCTCCAAACAGAGTGTACCAGTCTCTTCCAAACTCCACCTCGATGGCTAGCTAGTAGGGATTGAATTACCAGTATATCAACTTTAAGGTTGTGGTCATTTATCCTATGTTTGTCCCATACACTTATATCAGATCGCAATTCAGAAGTTGCTCGACAAAGCTAGTTACGTTGTCACTGTAGATTTATTTTGGAATCACTCTCCTTCTTATGTAACTTATTTAAGCCATTATGAAATCATTAGTAATCAAATTGAAAGCTACTTCTAGGTGTACGGCATGCGTTTCAGAACTCGTAAATACGAATCCATACCTCTTTTCCTCACTTCCTTCCCGACGAACCATCAACGGTCCAAAATAGTCGATTCCCACTGAGGAAAAGGAGAATCGATCTTGCTGAACTCGACACTCAGAAAGGGGTATCATCATTTACTGGGACAATGTAGCTTTCATACGCACACACCTCACGCAGTTACTTATCGTTCGTCTAAAATCACTGAATCCCCAAACAACCCAATGATTTCTGTGTATGATATCTAATACTTGTGATGTCTCAGTGTGGCCTTGTCTGTAGTGGCAGTGTCGGATAATCATTTTTGTTACACACTGATGACCGAGTAAGATCACAGGATGTTTGAGTGGGAGTAGATAATTCGAGTAGTTTAATCTTCCACCAACACAAAGTCGTCCTTCGCCAAACGTAGGGGACAGATTTTGTAAATTTGTTTACCATACCTTCGCAATTGTAATAAAGTTGTTTCACAGCATCCTCATATATATCCTTTTGCCCTAAGACAAATGGACTGCGTTTAGCCGTATCTACTCCATCAACTGTCTGACAGCCTATACTTGAAGACCTGTCTTTTTGGCAAGGGCAGATGGTGGTCGTATAGGTCACATATCTCCTGAGCCACCCTACCGCTTTATTCAGCTTTAACCAATTCGACTGGTACAACAGGACTGTACTTGAGTTACGTTTTACCGTGCCTGTGTTCCTCGTGTGAGCTCTTTTAAATTCAACGTTTTTTGAAGGCGTTTCCCGAATGAACTTCGGTATTTTTATAAACTCCCTATTCCATAGGAATTAACGGCCTTCAATCCAGATTTTTAAGTCTAATCCGTTCTGTATGTCTCGTGACATCCAGCCTGCAGGATTTTCCTTGGATCCAACATGTCCCCACAGCCCATAAACGTTAACCGGTGAGTAACAGTCAGGCGACTAGCTATTAAGTTAGAATACCTGCTCTTCGTATTCCCCACGTGGTACAGAACTATCATAGAATCTGTCCTAAAATGAGTCTTACAAAACGTGTGTGGAAGACTTTTATTTAAAACTTCACCCATTCGAGCATTCAATACTGTCCCTGTTACCTCTAATCTAGGAACAATTGCCGGTTTTATAGGAATGACTATGGCCCTACCATAGAGCAAAATGCTGTACGGGTTTTGTGCCTACGGATATTCTGCGAGTAGGCTACCGCACCGTAACCTGTTTCGGAGGCATCAGAAAGCAAATGAAACTCAGTCACCCCAAAGTTCTCTCTATTCTTATTTCTAATGTTTTGGGGAACGTTGATTATCCCAATCTTACGCACAAACTTAACCCGACCGTTTCACGAGGATACAACACTAGCAATTAGGAGCTGGTCTCAACCAATGTTGACTTACAAAATGTCCGTGAGAGCTGCTTGGTAGGAAGGTATACTGGAGCAATTAGGCCTCGTGGATAAAAAGAATGGAAAAGTGGATGATATTTCCATCCTAATTAGGGTTTTTTTCTCTAGGTCGAATTGATATTCTATAACTACGTGTACGGTGTCCCATTCGATCCCAAGGGTTTGATGGGTGGACCCTTCGTTCAAGAGCATAACAACTACCGTTACCATACTATCGGTTTTTGAAAAATTCGTCTACCAGTTCTTACGTAGTTACCAATTTTTTCACCCTAAAACCTCATTGAGCCATCAATTTGTTAAATTGCGCAATAAATTATTTTGCATCATCCTTACTGGGATAGTATATTAGGTAATCGTCCACGCAAGAGTTGTGTAGTACCGAATCCATTAGAAAACGTTTGGGCTGTCTTCATCAATGTGAAATCGACACAAAAGTGTGAGGTTATTACTCTGAAGAGGTGTGATGTCCCCTGATATTCCACAGGTTCTTTCGCGAGATCAGCCTCTGGCCACCATAGGAAAAGTAGTGTTCTACAATTGGCCTTCGAGACTTTAAGTTGCATGAACATTTTTTCTGCATCTGCAGAAACGGCTACCGGTTCCTTGTGGAAACGTCACAGGATACCAACTAAGTTTACTGTTGTATCTTGACTTTGGTAGAGGTCATAATTAGACAACTGAAAAAAATAATATTCAAAGACGGAATGTAGACACAACTTCTACTCCTTAAGAGTTGTCAAAAGCTGGAATTCGCTGCCGGCCGAGCTAGTCCAAGCGACTTCTCAGGAGTCCTTCAAGAGGCAACTTGACCTATTCTTAAGGACCAAGGACACCATCACACTATGATTTACCAATTTCTTTTCCTCTTTTATTGTTAACATACCTAGGTTCCTGCCTGGAGGATTTGGTGATCCCCTGCTACTAGACACGGAAGCCTGTTAAGCGAAAGCTTCTATTCCGTCCACAACCATTTGAACCATTTGAAAGGCATGCCTGCTACAGGCATTTAGGAAAATACACTCATAATTTATGTCCAAAAGATAATCACAATGTAGCTTTCCTTCATTTTTGTTTTTAAGGTAGTATCTGAATAACACTATCTAGGCCGTAGTACTGAATACTGAACGACCTTACAAATCTTCTGGGTCGTTTATTTATTGACCTTCACTTGCATGAATGATTTGTGTTCGTGAATTGCAGAAACTTAGAGGCAGCAACAGGCGATTGTGGACTTTAAGTTGGAATCATAAAGGATCTGTCTTGGTTTCCGGTGGGGAAGACAGAATAATCAAGTCATGGGCTAAATGTGACGATGAATCATGGATTAACAGTTTCTCTCTCCCTGAGGCACACAAAAGATCAATTAGATGCATAACATGGTCGCCATGTGGTAACTACATAGCCTCAGCGAGTTTTGATGGAACAGTAGCCATTTGGAAAGTTTTCAAAGAGGCTTCAGGGCACGAAATGGAGGCGCTTGTGACATTAGAAGGTATGTTTTGACACAATACATTAAATTAAAACCATTTCGTCGTGTCACATATAACAAATTAAATAAAGTTGACCATGCTTGTTTGTTATTTTGGTCTAGTACACAATGTGGTTCTCCGAGACTTATTCGGTCTTTTCTTTAGATTCACTTGCACTTGTGACATAAATTTGTTTCTGAATTCAGGTGGACCTTGGTAATTTTTTTATTTATTAATAGTTTACAATGCAGCAAAATAGCCTTGCTGTTAGACAAGATGGATTAGTTCTTAACACGGAGTAGTATTTAAACCGCTGTTTTTATTTATCGTAAGAATGTGATTAATATACCTTGTTTAAATCATTCCTCTTCATACAATGGAAAACGAACCTGTCTGTAATTTGGTAGCTTCTGCGGACTTCATTATAATATATACAGTTTGGGATTGTCTATTGAAGAAGGATGTGCCTGAGAAGTTTATTAACATCCTAAAAGCCCTATATACAAACACCTCAGGCAGAATAAGGGCATACAACCACCTCCCTCCATTGTTCCATTCAAGCAGTGGAGTTAGACAGGGTTGCCTAATCTCACCATTCCTCTTCAATTTTTCCATCGATAACATTCTGGAAACAGCTCTGATGAGTGTAAGTAATGGCTGTGTTAATCTGTTGCCTGGAGAAAGACTTCTCGACCTTGAGTATGCGGATGATATTGTCTTACTGTACGATAATGCCCAAGCCATGCGATCCGCACTTAGTCAGTTGGCAATCAGTGTTCGTAGGCATGGCATGTGCTTTGCACCTCCGATGTGCAAAGTACTTCTACAAGACTAGCAGGATTCTAATCCTGTACTCACCCTGGATGGTGAGCAGATAGACGTAGTCGAGAAGTTCGTGTATCTGGGTAGCTGCATAAGTGCTGGTGGTGGCGTGAGTGATGAGATCACTGCACGAATAGTGAGAGCCAGAGCCGCTTATGCCAATCTGGGCCATCTTTGGCAGCTTCGTGATGTCAGTCTGGCTGTAAAAGTTCGGATCTACAACGCGTCGGTGAAAGCAGTTTCGCTCCACGTTTGTGAAACCTAACCTCTCCGAGTTGGGGATGTTAGACGACTCTCTGTGTTTGACCATCGTTGTCTCCGAAGGATTGCTGACATCCAGTAGCAACACCATGTTAGTAATGCAGAGGTTCGGCATCGTGTGTTCGGGCACAGAGACGATAACCCAATTGGTGTCACAATCTTGAAACGTCGACTTCAGGGGCTTGGACGTGTTCTACGAATGTCGTCCCAGAGAATTCCACGTCGTGCATTATTTGCAGACACCGGGACTGGTTGGAAAAGGCAGAGAGGTGGTCAGTGTAGGACATGGTGTCGTGGTATGAAAGAAAGCTGCAAAGGGCTAGCTTCTGTTGATTCTTCACGACTCCCTGGCTGAGGTCCGAGAGATGGTGCGACACAGTGGATAGAGACGTTATCAGATATGGCTCAGAATATAAACCAGTGACGATCCTGCTGTAACCTTCTTCATGAAAAGTGGCCGTAACTTTAACTGAAAAAATTTCTGTTTGTATCTTTCTGTTTCTCCCATTATTATTATTTTCAATATTATTTTTGTCACTATCATTATTATTATTTCACTACCAAACACCAATTTGTGGTCGTTATTGTTCTTTTTCTTCTTTTTATGCGCACCTTACATTCTTTATCTCTTCCCATTCTCATTGTCATTATGTGGCGCATATGTATCTGGTGCCTCCTTGTACCAATATTTATGTGTTCAAATAAATAATTAAATGAATGGTGTGTACGAAGGATTCACGTAAATGAGTTGGAAAACCCTGATTCCAAAGCAATGGTGCACATGAACTCGAGGATCTTGAGGCAACTAGTGGTGTGTAAACCTGTTGTTGGTCATCGGCAACCATTTACTGCACCTCCCTATTTTGCTCCATTGCCTTGTGGATTAGACGTTTAGGTCGAAGGCTCGGGGTGTACCTTCCTAAGAAGACCGCTTGCTTCGTTTCGGCACCTGGGGAGTATCTCATCCCTCACACAAATCGGTTGATTTTTGTGGATGACTACATTTGCGATGATTTGTTCATAAACCATCCTGTTTGAATCCAGATTGTTTTCTCACCTGACTTGTGGAGCTCAAATTTTCTTTGTCGTAAACTTTCTCATTAATGCTCACTTTTCAAATGTGAGACGAGCAAAGTACGTAGCTTTTCATGGGCTAAGCATAAGGAAATATTTTTTTCGGCAGGTAGTGTATCGGTGAGGTATTATGTAGCTTTAATACTTTATTATAAGTAGTCTATCAATTTCACACTGATGCAAACTACTTTTTGTTGTTTTTCTCATGGATATTAGGGCATACTAGCGAAGTCAAGTGTGTTGCTTGGTGCCCATCCGGTCATCTGATAGCAACTTGTGGTCGAGATAAAAGTGTCTGGTTGTGGGAATTTGATGATGAAGAGGATGTTCAGTGTGTAAGCGTTCTGCAGCCCCATTCACAGGATGTGAAATCAGTAGCCTGGCATCCAGACGGTGAGGTGAGTACGCTTGGTAAGTATTTTTCGTGCTAAAATGCTTCCAATGATGGTTGGGTGCAGGTTGATTTTCGTTCACATTGTGGATCCATTGTTCACATCTTCACTGCCAGTCTATATATATATATATATATATATATATGCTTGAATCTTAAAATTAAACCTTCTATATATCTTACTAGGCTTTACAACTAGTAATGGCTAAATACAAAAAGATTTTATTTATAGTTCAAATTAAAATGCAATATTGGTGCAGATTGGCATAACATAAAATCCACTGATTATTGAAGTTATTTGCTGTTTTCTTATCATTCATATATGAGAGTTGGATTGAGACGATTACTAATAAGCACTATAAATATAATGGTTTTTCATAGTTTAAAATCTTAAACCTGGTAATTGTCAGACACATTCAAGCTAGTTTGGATAATTTGACAGATTAGTGCCTAGGAGTTGCCACTTAAATTGGTTAAGCTTTTTAGGATTATAGGTAAAACAATGGCTTTTTCCTTAAGTGATGAAAAAGCTTCTTAGTCTGGTATTCGTTTTCAAACAATACGTCGTCTTTTCTTGCTAAGACGTTCCGTCATCGTAAAAATACCTTGGGACTCCAATAGTTGACGAAACTAATTTTTACTACTAATTTGCACAAGGTTATCACTGTTTTTGTACGTTTAATAGTGTTAGACTTTGTAACAACATGTGTGCTAACTAGCAGGAAATGTAGGTTGGCTTACCGCCAACCACTTAACACCAAAACACAGTGTACGCGATACCGAGTTACTCAGACTTCACTATCTAACAGGGTGGTCGGGCTTGCTTAATGTGATGAATGAATTAGGCCGTATTGACCAGGACAATCGTCCCTCAAGGTCTTACCATGCCAGGTCGGTTGAAGAGCGGTAAGACCAAAAGCAGCGAACCCAAAGTCCGAGGGCGAAGTTGTACTGCTGATTGTACAGAGGTGTGGCGGCAATAAGGTGTTTTACTCAGACAACCAGCATAATAGAGATGCTGCCTTTCCTCAAAGGAAGTGTGGGGTTAGAAAAGGCCGACCCTGAAGATGCACACCGTCTTATCTCACGGATATCCGTCTCCGACGGTAAGGCCTCAACAAGTACGAAGCTAACACAAAACTTACCCACAAAAAGGTCATATGTGACCGGCCTCAAGAAGTTTTCCCTTGGACACTGAGGTCACGCTGTCAGGTCAATAAGACCAAATTTATCTCCATTTCCTGTCCAGGTACCTCTAGAAGAACTCTTCCACAGTGTGGATAACCGGGAAGTGATAACCGCCTTCATCCTTCTACCAGCACTCGAGACCACTATATTCATAATCATTTTCCCTCTAACAGTGGCTAAATTGCCACTTATTCTGTAGAATCTGATCAGCACCAAGAACTAGAGAGATGTGTAATTAATCACTACTGATTATCCGGTCAAATTCAGGTTTGTCTATTTATTTTTGCCATGTTCGAGTTGACTTCTTTTTTCCGTCATTTGTGTTTTATGTAGGTTCTGGTTTCTACAAGTTATGACAATAAGATAAATGTGTATAAAGAGGAACTTGATGATTGGGCTGTTTTTATTCAGCTAAGTAAGTGATGAGTATCCTAATTTGTGATCAATTTTCTTTTTAAACTGGTATCATTTTATTTAATCTTCAGAGCTACTTCCGTATTTAATGAAATAATTTTAAGTACTAGTGAGTAGTTTATATTTCTACACTAAATATTCGACGACTCATCTCATGCTAATGCTATACATCACCTTTTTGGATCATGTAATATTAAATAAACGGATTTAGTCAAATTACCATCTAGGTGTTTTATTTAACACTTCGTTTAATTGGATACCTTTTATCTGAAATTTGAAAGACTTGTTTTTTTGTTTTTGTGAATCAGTTCATTTTATTAATTTATAACATGTCATGGTGTCAAGAGTTCACTGATATCAAACTAACTCTTTCCTCATGTTAATCAAGATACTTGTTTTTTCTTAGAAAGTTTAATGTACGGTGCATGCTATTTTTACTGTTATCCTTTGAAGTGAATATGCTCTGAATGTAAGATCTTAATTTAGTTGAAGCAGTTCCTTTAGCTTAACTGAACTACTCATAAAGGATTAAATGTAAGCTGTTAGGCAGCGTTTAGAGACGGAAGTTGTTTTGAAAGGAGTGGGAAAACTTCAGTCGAAACTTCGTTAAGTCTAAAGTATAGGTCAGGAAAAAGTTAAATTGATTTATTGCTTTACAGTGATTTTTGCAAGTTATGGCCCTTATGAGATAGTGAGTGGCTATCCAGTAGGTCTTCTTGAATTATACACATTCTGTTCCCTCTAGCAACTCGATTATAACATTTCCAGGAATTCGAAGTCATATTTTGTTAACGTTTCGTCAGCTGACTAGTACCTGTACAAATAAATACATAACCATCGTGTAAATGAATTTAATTTACGTGTAGAATGTAAAGATGTGCTGTTCACTCTTTCAAAATAAAACTTAAGACTACCAAATGATGAGACTAAGTATAAATGTTTGTCTTCTATACTTTGATTGGTTAGTGATTATTGACCATAACCGGTTGCCCAAACCTAGTTAGGCAAGGCAGAGTTTCAACCTACTGTCTATTAGTTGGAAGTCAGATGTCATAATCACTAAGACACCGCCTCACGTTGTTAATGAAAACAAGCTTGAAGTCGATATAAACTAATTTGAAGTCGTCAGCTATGTTGTATGTTGAATAAATTACTCAAATCACCCTTCAGTTGTACTTTTCATTATCATGTTGATAATATTTTAAGCAGAGATGAATAGTAGCTAGCACTGTAATGTGGTACACTCGTTTCCTCCTGTTTGATAATAGTTGGAATGGGAAGTCTAAAATACACATTTAGTAGGAAGTGGGGAGTATTGACTTCGAGATTTTCACACATTACTAAAAAGGTAGGAGATCTTAAAGCGCTTTTCTTCAACACATAAATTGGTTTGAATTCACCTTATGATACATAATAGCTATTAGTTAATATAAATCAATAAACATGTACATGTTGTTGTATTGCCTGGCAACTGGAATTTCAATAAGTAAGACAGGTTTTGAACCTGTAACCGAATATCTGGAAGCCAAGTGCTTCACCTACTAAGCGATATTTATATGATCACTAACCTTACAGTGTTATCCTCTGTATCAGTACTTGTCTACTTTTAACTTTGAATCACATCTTTCTCATTACGAATGAGTGTGCAAGTAATATTGACGCTAAACATTGATTTTTTTGCATGAAAGGTAAACTACTGGGTGATTTTGTTGTTAATTTACCTATCTGGGGTATATGTTGTCTGTGTCAACTGGTGTGTGTTACTTAAACCAATTTCCCGGATAGTCGTAGTTCTTAGAAGTAGATACTTATCTAGCGTTATGAAATAGTAACATTGATTGTAACCTCTGTTTATTCCGCATAAATGTTACACATGCCCCATGCATTAAAAATTAATTAGCCAGTAATCTTTGCGTTTATTTTTCCGAGTATGTTATTCTATTTATTTGTTTCAACTTCCTTAGCTGGACATGACTCCACTGTGTGGAAAGCAGAGTTTTCTCCATCTGGAGATATTTTGGCGAGCTGTAGTGATGATCGATGTATTAAACTTTGGGGATGGGAAGGTGAGTTTTATAAATGTATCTTTTATTTTAAATACAAATTTCCAAATAACTTGTGACATGGCTCAAAATCGACCACAATGGTGTCTTTCCTTAAACCGTGAGATTAAAATTACTTTACACCTTTCTTTCCATGAGCCAATTCTTTCTCCTTGTATCATATCCTTACATATTATCTCTATTTATATGTATTACTACCATTGAAGTAACTACTATGCATTTGGTGTTGATCTTATCGTACTAATGAGGTACGGCAACTTGAACCGATTCATGTGCCTGATCCTACGTAGTGGATGACTGACTGACTGACTAAAAGAAAACAACACATTGTTGAGGGAGAGAGGGTTATTTTTGCTCTCTTTTAAAACAACTTGATTGGTATACAAAGTTCAGCGCGGCTGTACTCACCTCTGTAAGAATTTGGGACTTGGAAATAACTTCTGGAGACAAATAATCACATTCTAGCCCATTAAATTTGTTGTTGCAAAGATTCTCAGAGGTCATTTATTTTTCGATGTTCTCGTCTGTCATGATTCATCTCTCGATCAGCACTTCATTCTTCATTTAACAAAAACCTTAATATCTATCATAAAAAACTAGTCAATGATCGAAAATCTACTTAACATGGTAATCGACGTACAAGTGTTCACTAAATACGCGAAGTTTGATTATAAATACTCTCTCCATTTGAACAATGTTAAAGTAAGAACAATTACACAGTAGGTAAATTAGTGTTATTTGATTTTCTGCTAGGGATATTCAACGTCCTGGTAGGATAAATGAAACTTACTGGAGGCCTAATTTGAAGAGTAGACAAACAAACAAACATTATCTGCATAGAGTGCGAGATTGATGTAAGTTGGTCCAGGTTTCCATATTACATTAACACGATGAGATAGAAATAACAAGACAATTAGCAAAAAATACCGGAAGTAACGTAGCAGCAATGACAATAAGACTAAACATTAGAAATGTGTTTCGAAAAGACTGAATGGAAAGGTGTATCTCGTGGATTACTGGAATTTAAGATCGAGAGGGAAACAAAGAGTGAATCCATCTAAGCCATTGCGAACTATCTTCGGTCATGTCAACCAGAGTCCCAAACCACTGACCAAAATTATCACGTAGACTCCAATCATGTAGTCTGCATCTGCCAACATAACTGAAACCAACAATCAATGAATTCTTGGACTGGTCTCATATCTTGATTCGATTGCTAACAGTTTTCTTCCAAATTAATTGTGCACCATTAAGCATCACTTATCCACGTAAGCCATTGTTGGGCATATGTAATACATTTCCGAACCACCTCAGTCCATGAAGATGCACTGCCTTATCAATTGATTCGCTATTCCTACCTGGTACCGTGTGTCTAGCATCAACACGACCCGTTTGATGGTCCTGGAATGCACTAGCAATGCTTCGATGGTATCTCTGATCTAATATCAGTAAGTTGTGAATATTCTCTATTTTTAAACGTTACATTTCACAGTCATAAAGTGATCGAACAGTTGTTCAGTGAACTGGTTGTGTGTTTGGTGAATGAACATCTCGTCTACAACACATGCGCTACAAGTTCACGAAAAGCAAGCAAGCTTATCGAGTCCATGCCGTGATTTCTTCAGACACCAAGACAAGTGGAGTGATCGATACACTCAATCACTTTACGTCGACGCGGATCATTTCGCTTCTATGTTGAGAGATAAGCATCTTAAACATGCTAGCACTGTTGTTTAAAGTGGTAATGGGATTGCATTTTTTCAGCGTATTTGCCACACAGAACGATGCCATCTACATATTTTAAGTCAGCAAGAGAGTTTCGTGGTAGGACAATTGCTAAAAAGTGAAACGATGAAAAATAATGATAGAGTTAAATAAGAATGCAGAAAGCGGACAGTCTTGACGAACATTACTCGAAGTTAACTGTTTCGATGACAGTTAACCGCAAGTCGTGGTCCCACTAGTTGTGTTCGATTATTGAGGCCATATTAGGTTAGTATACTTTCTTGGTATAATTTAAGAATAATCATAAGAATAATAATCATAATCGTCTATAGTCAAAATAAAGCTTATAATAAGAGGAATATAGATATACATAATCTAGTTATTGAACAGTTATACAATAAGAAAATATGTATAATATTTGTCCATAAATAGTTCTCAGTAGTTACCCCTAATTTAATCTTCACTAGGATATAATTATATATATACTTATAAATTTACTATTTACGGATGAAAAAATAAAGAAACAGTGTTTACACATTTCTATTTCTACTGTCACATCGACAGCAGTGACAAACCGGGGTGAGAGGAGTAAAAACATAGTCAGTTATGGAGAACTGCAGGAAAAAATAGTAACCTTTCATTTATTGAATATAAACTTGCTACTTTTTGTTGGGGGTCTTTTATGACATGCGATGTTTATATAGTGCAACACTATATATATCACCTTAAGTTGTAAGGAAGAACGGGAAAACATGAACGATTTATTTCAGTCTCTACATACAATAAATTTAAGGAAAAAGATTAAGCGACGGGACTACACAACGACAACTACGCTCATTTTTAACCAGTCGTAATGTATAATTTTATGGAGCAAAACAAACACAAAATAAAAATAAAAATGTTGAACTATCAAAGAAGAGGGAATAAGAAGAAAAAGCTTGGAATAAGAAAAATGCATAAGCACTCTGTTTCTCTCGCCGTAGGCGTAATAGATGATTTATAACTGAATTTAATTGAATGAATTTACACAAGGATAATATGACAAGTGTGGAAAAAATGCGCATAAGTAGAGATAACAAAGTCTCTGTCAAGATAACTAAATATTAGCACACATTACTCGTGGAACTGCAAGTAACTAAACATGAAAGTTTAAATGATTTTTTACCCCAAAATTAACATGAGAAAATTAGTAATGACAACTGTGGTGCTATGATAAACCACCTTTTACGCGAGTTATGCTATGTAACATTTGCATATTTTCATGATTAAATTGGGAGTTAAATCTAATTGCATAACACTATTAAAATTTATTGAGCAGGCTATTTGGTTGTGATAAGTAAAGCAACAAATCAGCTTTTCAGATCCTTCGTAAGCATTTTCGGCAACATAAGAAAGAAATTAAGTTGAACTCCTCATACACTTTCACATTTGTATTTAGTGGATACTTACCTTACGTTAGACGTGTTATAATATGCCTTATCAAACTCTGCCCCGTTCTGTCAGCTGTGTGGCGTGTATAGTTCTTTTTCAGATTTTGGAACAATACAAACTGAAAATTATAAATTCTATACGTATAAATTGTTTTGAGTAAAAATGTCACCATTAAGACTCATCCACAAAGTAAATCATTGGATTAAGATGTCATTGACAAGCACTATTGACTAACTGGGTATAAATGTAGTTTTCTTATTTTTAATAAAATGTACAAAAGTACATTTTCACTCACTTCTTAGCCCATACAATGCTAGTTAGATATAGCTTCCCTAGAAGAAAAAACGTAACTTGATATCTATACTTGCAAAATAACGTTAATCGTATACAACTATCCAAGCGATAAGTGTATTAGTTTTTTAACGCTTTGTTGCTGCTTATCAACGTGTGACGCATGCGTTGTAGATGAGATGTTCATTCACCAAACACACAACCAGTTCACTGAACAACTGTTCGATCACTTTATGACTGTGAAATGTAACGTTTAAAAATAGAGAATATTCACAACTTACTGATATTAGATCAGAGATACCATCGAAGCATTGCTAGTGCATTCCAGGACCATCAAACGGGTCGTGTTGATGCTAGACACACGGTACCAGGTAGGAATAGCGAATCAATTGATAAGGCAGTGCATCTTCATGGACTGAGGTGGTTCGGAAATGTATTACATATGCCCAACAATGGCTTACGTGGATAAGTGATGCTTAATGGTGCACAATTAATTTGGAAGAAAACTGTTAGCAATCGAATCAAGATATGAGACCAGTCCAAGAATTCATTGATTGTTGGTTTCAGTTATGTTGGCAGATGCAGACTACATGATTGGAGTCTACGTGATAATTTTGGTCAGTGGTTTGGGACTCTGGTTGTCATTACCGAGGATATTTCACAATGATGCAGTTGTACTCACTGTCGTCTCTTAAATGCAAAGATTTTACTGAATGTTTTTTTACTATTATTTACGAACTCGTGTTCTCTCAGATCACTTGTTAATACTAAAGCTTTATGATTATTACTAATACTGATACTACTTCTTTTACGCCCTGATTTATGTGTCTCTGTGCTGTTATGTTGTTTCTGCTTGAACCGATACGCATATGTGCCAGGCTTTATGTTGCGTTTGATTGGCTGTTCAAATAATTACTTAACAGATAACATTCTTGCTCAACTATAAATGTTTAGGTTTTGTAAAATCTACTTTCATTTTTATTCAGTTAGTTTATTTGTATCAGGTAACCAATGATAATACTGACATTGTTTGACTTATTACTGCTAACATTTTACTTGTTTTTTCTTTCTGTTTATGTCATAAATCATGCTTTAATTTATATTACCAAGATTGTTTAATTTTACAAAAATTTTCCAGCAATGTATTTTGGTGGGAAATTGGTTGTTCTATATAAAATATTCAGCTTAGAAAAGTTGTCATTGTGATTTTCATCAACTCTGAATGTATAGTTCTATGTTGGGACCTTTTTAAAATGTACAGTTCTCAAAATATTTTTAAAACAATAAAGAACAGTCTACTTTTGTCAGTGTATTAGCGAACTATTAGAAAGCTTGTTGTGAAAAGAGTAAACTTTATTTTATTTTGTCTTCTCTTCTCAACACTTTCATTTCTAGTCACAGATGTATTTTTAGAGGTTTTTAAATGGTAATATAATTTAGCTTGCAAAGTTTGTATAAGTAAATTGTATAATTATATTTTTACAGTTTATACTATTCAAACATACTATCCAGTGTTTTTATATTTCGATTTTATGAATCCATTATCTACCTTCATACATGTGTTTCCCTTATGTGACTAGCTTTGTGGGTACGGTTTCGATGAATTGTCTTTGGTTGGTTGTACATGTGTTACATAATCAGATAATAATGTAATTACTAATTACCTTTTAGGAGCTTGCAGTAAATCAACTTCGTGGGTGTGTATTGCTACATTAACTGGTTATCATATACGTACAATTTTCGATTTAAGCTGGTAAGTAACATTTTTACTCTTATATGTCTATAATTAGATGACTTTGTAATGAATACTTGACATACCACGTACATTCTTTGGTTCAGTTAGTAACACCAAGTTATATCATGTAAACGATGACTGAAACGTAAAGTGTTTTCGGTTTAAATTCGTTTGACAAATTCCAGTATAGTTTAGAGTTCATTTCCAGAGTGTGTGATGCAAATACAATACATTTTACGCTAGTGAGTTTTGTTTTACAGTGATGGGATTTGGTGTTAAAGGAAATTCAAAAATTTGTCATACTGGGATTTCAGTGTCATACTGAATATTCACTTTTGAAAACATGTATAGTTTATTGAGACTTTACAACTGGTATTGAATCGTTTCTTATGGTTTAGGGCAAAACCACTCCTACATCTAAAATTAATGTATTCTGTGGTAGTCTATTCAGTTACATCATCTACAACACTCCTTAAACGTTTTGATCTGACTGATATCCAAGGTGAAAAGACATCAACATCTAGGTAGTTTTAATGCCAGGCTGAATAATCAGTTCACAGCTGTTGTGTATACGTATGTTACAGATTTAACCAAAGATATGCGAACAGTGTTCATAGTTAGGTGAATAAGGCACGTACACCACTGGCCTATATGATTTATACCTCTGACCCCTTTGATAGCCTTACAACTTATGATTTGATTATTTTTCACAGAAAGCCTCTTCTGTGACGTGATTACATAGAGAACTTTCAGTCACTAAGTCACAGGTTCAAAGCCTGCTCTACTTAATTTGGTTTGGGCGACTGGGTAGTATCATTAATTCTCATTTAGAGTACGGCTCTTACCCAAGTACCCGGTGAATGAGTTAATCTTACTCTATGTAGAGAACATCAAATATCTTGTAATGTATGAGACTATTAGTCTCTTCATTGTATTGTAAGTTTATTTTCAGTCAAACAAAATTATTCTTTGCCTACACTGACTGTTTGCATTTTCAGTTACGGGTATTAAGACTCGTCTCCATCGCATGTATTTTGAGTTTTCTAAGTTCACCATTGGCTTGAGTAATTGTTTGACAATGTATTATGGGGAATTTTCTTCTGACAGATGTCTGATTTCCATTTTGCATTATGATTAAGGATTTCACTTCCTATTTGATTTAACCCTTATCTCTTAATCATGTTTATTCAATGCTCAGTGTTATCGCAGATTTAAGTTGGAATTTCATAAGGAAAAAGTATATTGTAGCTAGGGATGAATTCTGAGAATTTCGCCAATTAATCTTTACTGATGTGACTGGATAGTTACTACGCAAATCATCACATAAAACTAAGGGTCAGTAAGATAGATAGTCAAAAACTGGTAGTTCGATGTCTGTAAGAGACGAAAATATTTTGTTAACATTAAAGTTAATTCAACTTTACTTACGTAGATGCGGTCAATCAGTGTGTTTAGCCGACGTTTGGATGCAAAATTAGATTAAACATTAAACATTGGCGATTTTTAGTTTATACGTGTATAACTTCTGTGTTTGATTTTTTGAGTCTATTAACGATATTTTTTCTCACACTATATATGTAGTGCTTTTGTCTCAACTGTTTGACAGGTCATCAGATGGTCAACTCTTAGCCAGTTGTGGTTCTGATAACAGATTATGCATCTATAAAATGCCATCTAGTGGTTTGATTCATATTGGCGGGAAACCGTGTTTAGAAGAACCACCTGTTCTATGGGGTTATGTTCCGAATGCTCATTCAGAAGACGTAAACTGTGTACGTTGGCAACCTAGGGGTTTCAACAACAAAAGTCATAGCGAAGATACATCAGACAGTCAACTAATTTTGACAACAGCCTCTGATGATGGATATATCAAGTTTTGGTCTATCAAGTGTGATGAATAATCCTGTTTCTTTCACGCACCAGACGATTGTGTTTATTTGTAATTGTACTCTTTTATGAACAATTATCTGTACATATAATTTTTACTTTTATAGTCTTTAAAATTGATCTTATTTTCATCATAGATTCGATACACATGGTGATTTTCACTCTTTTTCTCATATATATTTTTAGTCTACGTTTTTGATTCAGTAAAAATTAAATCGGAATGAGTAAACATTGGTTTTGCTCCGTGTCTAATAGTAACAATGAGTAGTCAAAAGAAAGGAGATAAAGGTAATTTCGGCATTCTAGTTTGAACTTCTTTTTTGGGAGTTTATAAAATGTACTAACCATTTGGAATTGATTGTCAATGCTACTGACATCATGTTATATGGGTCATTGATGATCTTAAAATATTGGTTTTGGGATTTTCAAGATCAGATTTGTTTGTTTATAGCTACGCTTCATTCGATCACCTTGAATCCACAACTTAAAGAGTTCGTTAATATCAGATGCTGAGGTTAAGTGGGTTGTGGTAAATGTAAAATGATACAAAATATCACAATCTAATGGCTTACTTTTAGCAATCCTTAAATAAAGCTAACTGAGATCACGGCTGCAATATGAGACTCTAAACTAGTTCCAGATAAATAGTCTGATTCTGCAGTTGATGTTCATTTGCGATGAAAACTGTTTTCCAAGTTATGCAATCCTCTAGAAATCAAATGTTTCTTATTGTAAATCGTCGTTTCTAAAGTGGATTATCAATTGATGGTTATTTTCAATAGTGTTTTTGATACATAGGTAACAGAAAAAGTCTTCTACTTATCATCTACTTGCTATTCAATCTTCTATTGTAATCCGTCAATAAATCCAAAGAATATATCAAATATTAGTGCTTCACAACTTTATAAATACGAATGAAATAATTATACGCTTATATTTAACTTTATATTTCGATATTTAGTTTAGGTAAGTAATAGTTGACCGTAATCATGGTTGTATAAATTTGAGATATTACTTCAGGGAATTTAATGGAAATAGATTAAAATCCATCCACAGAACATTCTGAAACTGATCACTCGGTTATGTCATAATCATTATGTTCTGTGTATGCATTATTCAATATGTATGAAATTACCAGGATGATTACCTCAGTATCCTAAGTTTTGAGAACATTCGCTTTAGTTGCATATTTATTATTGACCTTTAGACGCCCTTATTAAGTTAATCAAACTGAAAAGCAAATTATTTGGTCAGATTTAAGTTAATGATTAGAATTAGTACTAGGGATTTCTATAACGTTTGTCCCATCGCCATTGAATCCTTCATTAGTTATGCATCATTAACCCCGCTTAAAGGCCTGTTACATTGTGTTGTTTGGACAGACAGTTTTATCTGCCTTGAAGTTTTTGTATGATAACTAAGTTTCGTAGAGTATAGCATCAACTTTTCTAATTCTCACAGCTGCGTTTAATCATGTTTACGTAGTATACATGTTTTTTCTTAGAAATAATGACCAATTTATCTATTTTACACAGCTGGTTATCTGTTTCGTCTATCAATCTATTGGCAAAAACTAGTCTTCCATATGTACATAGACAGTTATGTCAGTAGGAGCTTATGTATATGAACATACAAATATTGATGTTAAGTAGTCGAAGGTAATTGGACTAATTTCCATGCTAGTTGGCACTCGTCAGCAAGAGACATCTACAATTATGAGGGGACTGATGCGCCCCATATGATTCGAAATTTATTACCCAACTTCATCGTCTGAGCTATTCTGACTATAACTGATCTATAGAACCTATATTTATAATGTAAATAGTAAACTATGTACATATGAATATTGGTAGATAATAAATCAGTTGCTACAATTTACGTTAATTTAATATTGATTCCAGTGACTGTATAATCCAATTTTGTTCATTATAATTTGTTTGACAAAGAAAAATAATTTTAATTGTCCCATTTTCGTATAACGTAATTCAATTATACGAGCGGATTGTAACAGAAAGCGTAAACATTACTATGTATTGAAGAAAAGTAGGTTAATTCATTTGTTATCTCTTAAGAAGTCTAATTGCTTCTTCCGAATCAAAATTACTCAACTATTTCATTATTTATTTACTTTCTCTTTATCTGTTATCTCGGATTTTTGGACAATTTCAGCTCTTATCAGTTTGTTGTTTTTCTCAAGCTGTTTTCAAATTGTCAATTGTATCCAATAGATGCGCTTATTTCTTGTTCCATACGAGGATCGAATTAATTATTATAATGTGTAATAACTAAAAACAACTTATTTAGGGATCTATATAATCCTAGATGGTATTTTGTTTAATATATATGATACCTGGTGCAAGTTATCAATTAAGTTAGTATTAAATTTCAGTTTCAAAATCAACAAGAAGAAAATCAGTTAAATACTAAGCAATTGCTGTTTAATGATATCAGCTTTATTTTTTTACAACTACTCTGTTGATAAGATCCATTCAGTACAAATAATCTGATTATTAGTCGATGTGTAGTTTTTTTAAAAATTGTACCAGTCACTCAATTCAATTATATCCATAGAATGCTTAGTTGTCTTGTGCTTTATAATTGGTCCCCGAATCCGATGACGCGTAGTCAGAACTAAAAGACTTTGACTTTGAACCTAAGTTAAAATGATACAAGTACGCTTATATGTTGATTTTACGGACACTTGATGATCATAAATAAATAATATATTTGTAATATCCCAATGAGTAGGAAATTAGATTTTCTGACGTTTCGTGACTTAGTGTAAGTCACTTCTTCAGAGAATAAATAACCAAATTAAAATTAATCCAAGTTTAAATAGTACAACGGAACAATAAGAATAATATTTGATCAATCAAAAACAGGTCTGAAACGACTTAATCTCATACCATTTCTGTCAAGGTGATTCATAAGTGATATGTAGTAAGTTTGTGTGTATGTATGTGTGTACTGTTTAAGAATGAAAAATTGGGTGATCTTTATGGTAAGAAAGGATAGTTTAATTTGTAATATGGTAGTGTGAATTGTATATATGATCAGACTGAATGGCTAGGATAGATGGTCCAAGTAGGATGTATGGTGAGGCCTTCCTTTCTATTGAGAGGAGTAGGATTAAGCATTATATGGAACGCTTCAGCTACCCTCCTTTCTTTGTAGTTGGAAAAGCCTTTTTGTAATATTTTGATGTTTTTAAAATCAATTTGGTGGTTGTTGAAAATGGCATGAACTGCTATTGCCGATTTAATTTGAAGTTTATCCAATTCTATGGGATTGTTAGGAGGTTTCTTTGTGTACCTAATATGTTCTTTGGCTCTAGTCAAGATTTCGCGGGATGACTCTCCAATATAGAAGGCATCACAATCGATACAACCTAATTTGTAGACGCAGTTCTGTGTGGAAATGAACGGAATTTTCTCTTTTAGGCTAACTAAAGTATTTCGTAGTGTGTTCGTTGCTTTGTAATATACTTTAATCCTGTGATGTTTTAAGATTCTTTGAAGTTCTTCTGTTGTACCGTGATGGTATGGTAGAACTACAGTACCAATCCATGATATTTCATTCGAATCATTATTATAACGTACTAAACTGTCTTGTTTTAATATACTGCTAATAATCTTCATAGGAAAAGTATTAAATTGTAAGATACTACTTACACTCTTTTGTTCTTTTTGCTTGTCTTCTTTTGATGTGATGATCTTGTTAGCTCTTCTAAAAAGATTTAATGCTAGCGAGATCTTAGCACTAAAAGGATGTGAAGAAGTGACTTACACTAAGTCACGAAACGTCAGAAAATCTAATTTTTCTACTCTTTGGGATATTACAATTATACTATTTATTTATAACAATCTACCCAATACTCAATTTATTCGAAATTATCAAATCAAACCTTGGTAATGATACATACTTGATGATCAGTTTATAATGATCACATGAATTACTACCAAAAACTCAAGCTACATATTTCATACTAAAATAATGAAATGAATATTATTTTAGATCAAAATTATAATGAAATAAATCAATATTATACTGAACAAAGTATATAAGTGAACAAGTATTACACTGAATAATCACTATATGGAATTAGAAAAAAAAATTGAAAGTCATGTTTAACAAAAATTGCAATGTATATAAAATGTGGTTTTATCTTATCTTGTTGTCATACCATCAACAATATTGAATAACACTGAACATTTCATTTATCTATTAACTTTATCATAGATGAATTGACTGGTCATAGTTCATATTCTTTTCAATTAGTTTGCATAGAAATTGTACTTTGATTTAGATTGTGTATGTTATTGTTCAAGTATTTGATTCTTACTTTATGATGGGATTTACGAATGTAAAATAAAAATTGATTAGTTAAAATATATTTTAAGAGATAGAGTAAATATATTTTTACCTATTTATTTATTTAAACACATAAACATTGGTACAAGGAGGCACCAAGTAGATATGCGTCACATAAATCATCCGATTTGTGTGAGGGCTGTGATACTGCCCGGACCGAATCAGGTGGTTTTCTTAGGGGCCACACTCGGAGCCTTCGACCTAAAGGTCTGACCCACAAGGCAGCGGAGCATCGTGAGGAGATGCAGTCCCATGGTAGCCGGTGAGCAACGATTGGTTCATACGCCATTTATTCCCGCAGGATACTGGAGCTCATGTGCACCATTGGTTTGGAATCCGGTTAAAGCGCCAGACATTCGCTTTTCGTCCTCTCATTTTCGTAAACAACACCACCCCGAGAATGCAGTGAGTAGGACTTCCCTATTATTAACTATTTTATATACGAATAAACAGTGTACGTTAAAACAAAAAATAGTGAATAAGATATAGAAGCTAGACTTTGTTATTATTTCAATATCGTTAACAATTTCTGGGCTTTGAAAGTGTTGAGAGTTTAGTACGTAGGATACTTTTTCAAAGAAGTCTAGGTCTAAAAATATTGTTCGTCTGATGATAAATGTATGGAACTTCAATCTTTTACATATTCGTGTTAATTTCCTCTAAGGAGTCATACATTAGAAATAAGGAATAATACTTAAGTTCAGTTCAAATTAGTTTGGAAATACAGAGAACTAATCCCATGGTCCATAATGGGCTATTTATTATAATTTCTTTTAGTATCTTTTATCGTACAATGTCTGATTATACTTAATGTCTGAGTTCGGACTATTATTATTATTATTAAGATAAGTATTATACATGTCATTTGTTTTATGATGCCTATGATAAAAATGAGATTAGCTAAAATGTTATTTGATTGGATAACTCGTACATTATCGATTAATAGGAAGAGGAATTAAAAAATATAAAAGTAACTGATTTGACATTTGGCAAATGAAGTTAACCATATATTAACCAAACTAGACAATAAATTAGGGAAGTAAAGTGAAACGATTAATTTTAAATATACTTATTTATACTTAATGACAAATTCTGGGAATAAGTATTTGATCTATTAGGCCTTTTCATGCTGATTCAGACAACCTTCTTTTAACTCTGATTAGGTAAGGAAATAAATTTAGGCATCGTTTTTATATTCAACAAATTTAATATATTTAAACTAATGATCATATAGTTAGACAAATGGTTTACAGTTGAATTGATTTGTATCAATCGAATGTTGATACATTTTATTAGATCCAGCTAGATGATGTTAGCAAGTTGCGAAGTAAACAAGTATTGATGGATAGTTAAATATGACAAATACATATATATATATATATATATATATATATATATATATATATATATATATATATATATATATATATATATATATATATATATATATATATATATATATTCAATATATAAATTTATCGAATAGGATAATACCTTTTTCCAAGATTTACACGCTTACACTAAGTAGAAAGATTTATAGCTATTTCACTTTTAATCCTTGTTATTTTAATGTAACTTTTTATGTTTCAAGCTTGTGTGATAATTAGGAGTATTTGAATGATAGTATAAATTAAGAATCCCAGAAATAACGCAATTAGATCAAGAAGTACTCGATAAGCACGAACGAATGTACTGTATTTGGAATTCGAAATCAAGCATCTAACAAGTACAAAGGAATCATTAGTTCATTCAAACACCACAGTTTGATAACTATTTCCCTGAAGCTATAACCAACATGTTTATGTGATCATTTAGTTTATAAGCTTGCTTCTTGACATCTTGTCTACTGATATACCAAATGATTATAGTACTCTAGAATATTTTGTTACCAAACAGACTTATTCAGTTTGGAGATGAAGATCAGTAGATAAATACAACCGTTAATGTAATTGTTATTGATATTACTTAAACTGATCAACTTAATTTAATTAGTCAGTATTACCAGTGACCACACAATATAGATATTTCAAATAGTTTTGTTACATTTGTATAAAAATTAATTATAAGATTTATTGAACTTCTTGTTACACTTGGAAACAATTATTAAATAAACTTTAATTTCTAGTTGCCTATGTAGCAAATTTGGTAGTTTTTTTTGTGTAGATATAAGTTGAATTTATTCATATGTACAGCTAGAAATTGACGATCTTTAATACAATGTTATAATAAATGGAAGTAGTATATATTTCCATTAAAGTTGATTTAATGAGCTACTGATACTTGTAGTTAATTAAATTTTGAAATAGGGGATTTCGGTAGTTTAGGTAATAAATCACATTATTGATGAATGAATACAAAAGATACATATATTGACAATTGATTATTATCATTCTCTTTTACAACTTGATCTCCAATGATTTGAGAGTTGTTTATAGCTTTTAATCAGATAATCCAATGACCAACTTTAAGAAACCTTTTTGATCAGTAATCAATCTCTTCTTAAGATATAATTAACTGAAAATTTTATTTGATCAATACCATATTTCAATAATTATGATGTTCGTACTGATAATTATTAACAGAACTGATTCCTAAGATTCTTTCTAGACAGATTGTGGACATCTACTCTCGTTCAACTGATGAGAAATGTATTATTGTTTCAAAGTTTTCATTTACATATGATTTATTTAGTTATGATATTGTAACTGTAGATAACATTTTAGAAGGCAAGTCATCAATTAAACTTGAAAATATAGATCTGAAAACCAAGCGATTACACAGAATAAGTAATTCACTAAACATTTTTTTTACAATAAAAGATAACATACTGTGAAAAAAGTATATAAATATAGTAACACTTGGATAGATGGTAACATTAGTAAATTAGTTTCCATCTTAATCATGAGCGAATAAGTTAACGTTCTTTGTTTCGTGTTATTTTTTAACAATCATCAACACGATTGTTAACACTTGAAAAATATAACATTGTAGATATAAATATATATCGATATTATTGATTATTTAACACGTTACTTTGGATAGTATCTGACGATATAATGTAAGAACAAGTTAGAAATATGTTTCATACTATCACGATGAAATGGGCAATGAATCTTTTGGATTTTTGTATATAAATATTAATATTTGGTATCATACAGTATCCACACACTTCTTTCTCGAAAGCTTTGCTGTTGTAACTTTTATCATACATTAGTCATGATAATAATAATGTCAGCATATGTACATTATCAACCATGGAAAAATCGTTATAAGCGATACATTTCATTTATATCATATATTTTTTATTAGTTTGAAGTTGTTTAGTCACTTACAAAAGCTTTTCTTAGTTTACTAAGATGTTATAAGTAAGTCGCGTTTGCCTTATTACTTCATATATGTGATCAGTGAAACATTTAAGTCTATACACACTGAAGGGTTTCCAAACTAGATTTAGAAGTTTAGGATACCAACATAAAATGTTTAAATAATCATTAAGCCATTATAAAACTTGATTTCAGCCAAGGCGTCATATGTTTGAACTTTATCTAGTTCAATACGAATAACGTAGTAGTATAAAGGCGTTTGCACAAAATATGTCACACAAAGACAAGTATACGAATCTATGTTCGATGGATGTATAACATTATATACCACTCAAGTAATTGATATGAAAGCTTAGTTTACGCACCCTTATCATTACAAGTGAAATTAATTCATATCTAATCAATATTCTTTATTTACAAATTCCCTTAATTATAACACATAGCATAGCAATAAAAATATGGCATTTATAGTCTAAAATATTTGTAATTATTTACAAATACTACTAACTAATATGAATAATGATTATCAGTAAAGCTATAAACTATCATCAAACTACATCACGAGGCAAGCTCTAACTTGGAATCCTAGAAAGAAACGAAAACAAGGAAGCCTAAAGAACACACTACGTTGGGAATTAGAAGCAGACATGGAAAGGATGAATAAGAACTGGAAAGAACTGAAAAGGATTGCCTAGGACATAGTTGATTGGACAGTGCTATGCACCTATGCACCTCGATGATGTGTAACAGGTGTAAACAATTAAGTAATAGTTTGTAACAGCTTTATTCACTTGTGATAGGAACTAACTTTGATTGTGTAGTTAATATGCTTCCAAGTATTTTTGATAAAGAAAGATACAATCTTATTATTTATCTTTAATGGTTGCTTTATTGTTGATCGGAACTTCTAAAGAAGTATATATATTAGAATAAATAACTTGTGACTGAATTACTGTAACAATAAACAGAAAGTTTAGTAAAAACCATGTTATTTATTAATAAATGAAGGTATTTAGTTACGAAAAAATAGAACATTAAACAATCAGATACAGTAAACTGTTTGAATATTTATCTCATATTTCATGTTTCTACTTTAGAAAATTAAAGATTATTCAAGAATATTCAAGTAATGTTTACTTTTCAAGTCATATTACATGATGTTTATTAAGATTTATTAGTTACAAAATATAAAGAAATATGAACTTTATCAATAATACATGTACTTTCCGCTTTAACACCACCCTTATTACCTACAGTACAATACATTGTAGTTTTCATATTTTATTGCTATAGTGTTTGTTTTATTTTTTATTTTTTATTTAAAAAAAAAGAAGACGCGAAACCATAAATTGTGTTCTTGTTTGGAATATTTCTGTTTTTTTTCACTTGTAAACTACAATTTGTGATAAATGAATGGAAATTTTTGCGAAACATTATGATTATTATTATTATAATCATTACTATACAAGCTGACATTACCGGATCATTATCATAACTATTAATATTACTACTATACTGTTACTAGAACACTTCAAAATATTTATGTTTACATTGACATCTAGTAACAACTGAAAACTTTACTTATGCAAGGACAAGTTAAACCGATGTCATTCGTTTACTTTTATAAAAAGCAACAACATTTAGCAAGTTAATCTATATT